ACACCCCACGTGAACCTGGTGCAACAGTGCAAGGATCCTGGTGCAGGGTGGCAGCTATTCCAAACAGCTCTGGTACAAGGAGGTGGAATATCCTAGTGCAAAGAGAGGATTATTGAACAAAGTTCTGGTGCAAGGACATATGCAACTAATTCATGAGGTCCAGGAACAATTATGATGCACGAGTATTCCAAAAATGTGCAATTTTTCATCAGGGTCCTGGGGTGAGAAGGTAACTATTAAATGTCAGTAGTGCAAGCATGTTCAACAGAGCAAGGGAATATGGCTGCTCCAGAGGATCCCAGGGCCAGGATACACAAAATCCCTTTAGGGTCCTAGTGAAACTCACATGAAAGCACGCAGTCGTGCGAGCATGAGGAAATCCCACAATGAGAACACGTGAAGGCTCCATATGGTCCCCATAGAGGGGACAGAATTGTGAAAGTGCATGCATATCACCAATGTGCCTAGGGTACAAGAGAGTGCAAAGCCACAGCAGGAGAGGGATAATGGTGGAAAACTCCCCTCCCCCCAAGGGTGGAGCTGTGATGGGTACACAAAATCCTAGTGAGGAGCAACCCCTCAAGAGAAGGAATGATGGTGCAAGGAATGTGTAAGACCCTTGTGACTAAATCACCAGGACAAGGGTATGCTGCAGGAGCTCTGTGAGGAAAATAGTGCAAGGGATGTGGGTCTGTCGTGCACTACTGGAAGGGGCGTGAGAGCCCCATCAGCAGGTAAGGCACTGTGAACTAGTGCCAGAGTGTGCAACGGGAGGGGGGGCCGTGGAAATCAGTGGTGTAAGGCACATAAAGCCCCTGTGAACACCCGTGCTGTGGAGGCCTGAGAAAGCCTTATAAGGGAGCAACAGTGCAAAGGGCTGCCCAAACCAGATACGGGGAAACCAATGGTGAAAAGGGCACGCAAGACCCCCGTGCACAGGTCATTTGGTGCGAAGGCTGTGCGAGAGTCCCACGAGGGGGGTGGCATAGGACTCTGCTATGAGGAAGTGACTGTGCAAGGGGCGTGCAAGAGCTGCCCCGTGCTGCTCACTGGTGCAAGGAGCGTGCAAGACAGCAATGGTGCCTGCAAACCACGTATGCGAAACTGATGGTGCACGGAGCGTGCGAGAGCCCCATAATGGTGCTACAGGGAGCACGAGAGTCTGTCACCAGGCCAATGGTGCAAGGGGCGTGCAACCCCCCAGTGGGTGGGACAATGG